TGATGACCTTGTAAACCCCCTCTTTGGCTCTCCAACCCAAAACTTTCTCCCGTGCTTCGACATTAAGAACGGCTATTACCATATTCTTATTCACCCTCTTCACAGACCATACTTCGTTTATGTTGGAACAACTCTCGTTATCAATTCACAACTCTTTATTTTGGAATATCGTCCGCCTGTTGGATTTTCACTACTGTAATGCAGGAAATAATTGCGAAAACGTGCATCCGTCAGGTTTTCATTACCTCTTACATAGATGACTCTGCTCTCGCAAAACCTGACCTTCTACTCCTTATCTGACAAACATTCAATTACGTAGCACTTCCCCACAGCCTTGACTTTTTTCTTAGCCTCACTAAGTGCACTTTTCTTCCCTCTCAGTCTATAAAGTTTCTCAGATTTATCATAGACTCTCACCATAAGCGCATCAGGGTACCAGTGGACAAAGCAGCTAAGATACTCAAACTCATTAGCATAGTCTCAGTCTTGCAACCATCAAACAAGACCCTTGCAAGCCTCGCCGAAAAATTGATCTAACTTTCAAAAGTTTTCCTTCTTGCACCTCTTTTTATTTCTTCTTTCTACAATTCTATCACCCCTTCTAATTGAGACTCTCCAACCATATTATCAAACAATCTTATCGTCGACCTACTATGGTGGCTTCAAAACCTTCTTTCTTTACTCGGTCGGTTGTGGACTATCCGCGACTCAACCTGCTCAATCACCACTGACGCTTCCGCTTCCCAGATTGGTGTCATTATCTCCCCCAAATCCGAACCATCCATTATTCTGAACCAATGCCTTCCATAAGAACTGTTACAAACTTCGTCAACACATAGGGAATTCTTCGCCATTTTTGAAACTTTCGTTTTTTGGAATCACACCATCTGCACCTTCTGTCATCTTCCTCCATTACACTATTATCTGACAGGCAATCAACAGTAGCCCTCCTATAACGACTACGATCAAGAGATCCAACCTTCAACCCTTGACTCCGTCAAATCATATCCATACTTGCTCGTCATGACACACTTCTGTCACCACTCTAGATTCTCAGAACTTTGAATAAGGATGTTGATCTCATCTCAAAAACATAAGATAATACCGACTGGGGAATATCAACTTATGTTAAGCATGATATCTTCTCTATCATCGGAGCACCCTCCATCGACCTCTTCGCTTCGGATTATCACCACACCACTTCAATCTTCATCTCACGCACGTGGTTTAGAAAATCAGCTTTCATCGATGCACTCTCTATTGATTGGAACTCACTTCCTTCCGAACCATACAAATTGTTTTTTTTCTCTCACCACCCTTCTCTATCATGATATTTCTAGAGTTTTGCACTTTCCTGCCTCCTACCTTTTCATTTTCCCTTCCTCAAATAAAGCCAATTGGTTTCTCCGAATCCTCTCACTTAACATCTATCATTCATTTATAATCCCAAAATACGAATTATCTTGAATTCCTAGCCCAAGGGTCCACCATTCCTGCCCAAACTCTGCCACCATCGGTCTCTCCACAATCTTTCTCAACTTGAAATACTATTTGATTATCTTTTTCATGCACATTCCTATTTCTTCCTTCTAACTCATCTCCACCGATATTTTCCTCGTTCCCATCTTCCGCCCCACGCTTCTAACCACGGCGCATTCCATAATCATACCGCATAAAAGTACTAATAATATTCGACGTTCCTTGCTTCATCATCTCTCCCAAACTCCATCCCTCCTCTATTCATGCCTTAACTCCCCCTATCCAAAAACTATGACCACTTTCTCCCTCATTCACCCTCCCCTCTCCGAACCACTTCTCTATCCGTTTATTAAAAGTATCCCAACCAAACCCATTCCCCCCCCTTCCCGCCCTAAATAGATACCCGCTCCTAATATCTATTCCCGAGTTTTCATAAGCTACAATTACCTCCGGAAGGATCCCCCAAAACGTCTCCTCTTCTGTCTCCGATTCCTTCAATCGAATTAAATTTTTTTCCCCATGTCGATCAGTTTTCTTATAACTAGGACTCACCATGCGGCTGACTATATCTATTTCCTCATACTGTAATCTTAATCCCGCTCCACACCTCGGCCAACTTTCCCACATATAAAGAAACATCGTCGCATCTCGATACGCTTCCGCCTCTCGCATTCTTTTCAAAACCTTCATCTTATTTCGCATATAGCTAATCACACCAATAGACTTCTCCCAACCCAATGGTCTTGCAGACTCCTCAATCACACCCCTACTTAATGCATACTCTCGATAAGCTTTTTCTGAATGCCTTCACGCGACTACTTTGGCGTGGATCGCTATTCTCTTCTCGTCCCAACAATCTAAAACTACCACTTAAACAGTTTATTACAACATCCACTGTTGGCGGTGATACCATAGGCTCACCATCGCTGTCCGTCGTCCGACATCTGTTCTCAATTTCCACCAACCACTGACTACTCAAGAAAGACAAAACATCTAAGTCACTGCATGACAGTGCATGTCATGCAACTTTTTCCAACCTCATTCCTCTCCAACCATTCATTCAAACCAAGAAGGAGCTTCCTAATTCCGTTCTGCCATCGCTTCCCAAGACCATACTCTTCTATCAATCGGCTGCTCCACTCCAATCCCGCCTGGTAATTTTCTGCCACCTCAGGCATCCCTCGCTTCTGCTGCCAACTTCCATTACTCATTCACTCGTTCCACCACTCCTTGCAAGATGACAAGTCACTTGTGGGATGATGGGGGGATCTGGGACGGTTTAGGAGGTGTGTGGGCCTGCGGCCCCAACTCTATGACTCTCTTCTGAGGAATCTGGCTTCATCAGTGGATTGCTTCTTTTCATTTTATCCGGACTGGGCCTGGGTAGCAATTGCCCCGTATAAGCTCCTACGGTTGCACCAAGTACCAACGCTCAGTTGTCAACATCGCCCTTATTGTGCGACTACAACGGTAACGGCGGCTGCGCCGATAAGACATTTTTTCAGCAAGACTCTCAAAGCCTTGATTCTATCAATCTACGGCCTCGACCAGTCTTCAAGATCTGTTTTTCTCTATTTTCCAAGATAAACGGCCTAACAAAATTCTCAACCGACATCTATGGGTGGGACCAAAGAACTTACCCAGCAGGAAGAAGTCCTTCGGTGGACCGGCCTCCGCTCCCTCCAGGCGCAGCAATTGTACAAGTCACCGGCGCAGGAGCGGTCGCAGCAGGCTGCGTCAATTCTCGTGAGCTCCCCTCGGGATTCTGCCCGCCAGCTGCTGCCAAGCCAGCCAGCCAGTCACTCAGAGGACAGGTCGTTCACCTCGCCAATTCTGGTGCAGCGCCCCACCCACCCTCAAGATACCCGGTGTGTGGACCTGCGGCCCCAACTCTATGACTCTCTTCTGAGGAATCTGGCTTGACAAGTGGATTGCTTCTTTTCATTTTATCCGGACTGGGCCTGGGTAGCAGGGCTGAATAATATCCAGGCACAGAGAAGGCCAGTTCTTAGGCAGCTGTCCTCAAAATTCAGACCCTGGAACTAAAGATGTGCTACAAGCCCGCAAAGCCTCACAGAACCTTGTAAGGACGGCCTTTCAGGCCTTCTTTTTTTTTTTTTTTTTTAAGACCACCTTTTTTTTGTCATGATACTATTATATTACGAGGACCCACCCCCGTAGCAGCCACATCCGTGCTCAAGCTCTACAACAGCCTGGGCCTCCAAGGAGGGTATCAGCCACATCTGTGCTCAAGCCTCCAATGAGGGAACATGATCCGGGAGCTGCACCCACTAGCAGGTATGGTACCTGCTAGAGCACGTGGGCGATACCGGCCAGGGGTCAGCCGGTAGCAACAGGACCGAGGGTCTTCAACGGCCCAGTAGAAGTCAGCCAAGAGGTTCTGTCGACAGGTAGTTGAACCACTCGCCATCTGCAATGATTTTGAATGCACCTGGACAGCACCGTTGTCCATATGCATTCTAAAAAAGTGAGGATGGCGAATGGTGCAACTAGCTGTTGACAGATGGCATGCTCTTGCTCTTCGTGTTCTGCATTTCTTTGGGCCTCACTGCACTACTGTCGAAATGTGCAAAACGAGAGTGAATCTTCGTCTAGAATATGGAAAGTCTTTTGTGCATTTCAAGAGTAGTGCAGCGACGCCCTTAGGGTGTGCTCCCACTGGCCCTATCTTCTTAAAATGTATCTGACCTATTTTATAACCACGCTTGCATGCATCTGCCCGCAATCACGTCCTAAATTACGTAACAAAGTCCTACTAAGTGTGAGTACGCCCTTATTTCTTCTTCGTCATCTTATCTTATTATTATTATCCACAACAATCTCCCTGCTTGGATCCAAGTCCCTCGTTGGGCCCAAGTCCCTCGTTGGGCCCGAATCCCTCGTTCGGACTTGGGCCCAAGTCCCACTTGCCCGGATCCTTCAGTTCTGACCGGAGATTGCACTGATCGACGGTCAGAAACGAGGAACTCTGGCGAGTGGCACCTGCCCCCTGGTCCTATACTCCACAAGAGAGAGAGAGAGAGAGAGAGAGAGAGAGAGAGAGAGAGAGAGAGAGATTCTCATATAAAGTTTCTGCATTTCGCTTCTCTCCTCGATTCGTCATCCTCCTCGTAGCGAGGGGACACAGAGAGAGAGAGAGAGAGAGAGAGAGAGAGAGAGAGAGAGCTGAAGGACTTCATTCTCCTCGCTACGCATTAAAGCCTCTCCACTCATCGAGTCGCTGCTGGACTCTGCTGGCAATATATATATATGAGTCGGTGAAACTCCGACTAAACAGTTTGCCACAGCCCCTCGTTTGTTGTCCTCTTCTCCCTCCCTCTCTGCCTACGGTTTACTGGGCAGCTCTGTTTGACTATATCTGCCCACGGTTTACCGGGCAGTTCTGTTTGTGACGATATATATATACATATATATACACGAGAGAGAAAGAGAGAGAGAGAGAAAGAGAGAGAGAGAGAAGGCGTGTCTCTTGTAACAGATCGTTCATAGACATTGGGCGACAAGTGGTTTTCCATTTGTTAATTAATATTTAATTTAAAATAATTCCATTTAGTCAGTGTCACGCTCCCAGGTGGACGTCGGAGTCGGGACGATGGCGTGGGAGTCCGGATGGCAAGTCCGGTCGCGGTCGCGACGTGGGAGCCCAGCAGCAGCAGCAGCTCATCATCGTCGAAGCATGAAGTCCAACAAGCCGCTGCCCAGAAATTTCTCCGCCCCCCAGAACTTGAACGCGACGTGTCTGATCGGGATGCTCTGCCTGGCTATGGCCGCCGACCTTACCGATCCCGACAAGAAGGAGATCGCGATGAAGCTCGTCTCTAGCTTCGAGAATTCTTCCCTGGACTGGCGCGCGCAGTTCAAATACATCGAGGACATCGGCGACGGGCGCGGGTACACCGCCGGGATCATCGGATTCACGACCAGGACGGGGGATCTGCTGGAGGTGGTGCGTCGGTATACCGACCTGAAACCGGACAACGTGCTGGCCAAGTACATCGGCGCGCTTGAGAGCGTGCTCGGCAGCGACTCGCACGAGGGTCTGGATCCCGGCTTCGTGGACGACTGGAAGGCCGCCGCCGAGGACGCGGAGCTCCAGCGCGCGCAGGAGGAGGAACGGGACGGCGTCTACTTCGATCCCGCCGTCAATCAGGCGAAATCCGACGGTCTGCGCGCGCTGGGCCAGTTCATCTACTACGACGCGATAGTGATGCACGGCGGCGGCGACGATGAGAACAGCTTCGGATCCATTCGCGCCAAGGCGCGCCAAACGGCGTCTCCGCCGGCGGAGGGCGGGGAGGAGACCGCTTACCTCCATGTCTTTCTCGATGCGCGCGTAGAGGCGATGAAAAAAGAGCAGGCGCACTCGGACACCTCGCGCGTAGACACCGCGCAGCGCGTCTTTCTCAATAATGGCAATCTAGATCTGAACCTGCCGCTGGAATGGCATGTGTATGGAGATTACTACCAAATACCGAATTGATTAAAACATAGTAGTATTATGGTAAATTATATATATTAAAAAAGAGATGAGGGAAAAAAAGAAAAAAAAAGTAACTCTGGGGATGTCGAAGAGCTTCCAGGAGGCCGGGCGGGAGTTACCATCATGGTGGTTAGTTGTAGATTACTCGTCTGAGGAGCAAGTCGATTAATGAATGGATGAATGAATGAATGAATGAATGAAGCAAATCAATCAATTAATCGATCAAAATCTGTCAATCTTTTAATCAATCAATCGGTCAATCAATTGGTCAATCAATCAGTTGAACACTCAAAGACTCCATCCAATCAATCAATCAATCGATCAATCAATCAATCAATCAATCAATCGATCGATCAATCAATCAATCAAAAATCAATCAATCGATCAATCAATCAATCAATCAATCAATCAATGGTGGTTAGTTGTAGATGACTCGTCTGAGGAGGACGTCAATGAATGAATGAATGAATGAATGAAGCAAATCAATCAGTCAATCAATCAATTAATCGATCAGTCGATAGATCAATCGGTCAATATGTTAATCAATCAATCAATCGGTCAATCTATCAATTGAACACTCGAAGACTCCATCAAATCAATCAATCAATCGATTGATGGATCAATCAATCAATCAATCGATCGATCAATCAATCAATCAATCAATCAATCAATCAATCAATCAATCGATTATTCAATCGATTCAATCCGTGTCGTAGTTTTGCACAAAGGGGTTGTTAACGTTATAATGATCTAATCGTCTATAGACTGAAACTTCGATTGATTAGTCAGCTCCATGTGACCAATCAATCAATCAATCAATCAATCAATTAGCTCGGTTGCTCTGCACCGATGGATATGAATCTATCGATCACGCGGAATGAACCGATGGATATGAAACTCGATTGATGAGATGGTTGGTGGACGACTCGCCTTGCGGAGATACACTGTCAAGCAAATGACGTTTTTGTGATGTATCTGACCGCCTTTCCGGCCAGATTCAGTTCCGAAAAAACTCAAAGACGGAGGATCGAAACTCGGTTGATGATGCAGTTGGTGGGCGACTCGCGGGTCAAACAAATGATGTTTTTGTGATGTATCTGACTGTCTTTCCGGCCAGATTCAGTTCCCAAAAAAAGGAAAGACGGAGGATCGAAACTCGGTTGATGTCAACTTGATGATGCAGTTGGTGGGCGACTCGCCTCGCGGAGATATACGCACGTCAAGCAGATGACGTTTCTTCTTCGATGTATCTTACCAGCATTTCCGGCGAGATTCAGTTCCAAAAACGTCTGTACAAATGAATTATTTGTGTCTCGTCTCCTTGGTTCTCCCCCACGTGTGCGTGACAGAGATCTTGCGGATCTTTCGTCGAAGTTTCGATCTTGCTTCGTCGAAAGAAAAAATTCCGTGTTGGCCTCTACCGTCTTCACTCGAATAGAAAGCCAGGTCATTCTTATAGCTGTATTTGGCCCAACTTTCAGTCCAGATGCAGCGATAATGACAGGGCGTTCTATTCGGGTGAAGACGGTAGTAGTCGTCAATCTATGCATCGATGAATCAGAAGGCTATCAATCTTGCAAAAGCTTTTTTTTTTTTTTTTTTTTCCCGCGTGTGCGTGAGATCATCAGTCACAAAGAGACTTCGTTAATCGTCGAAGGTTCGATCTTTCTTCGTCGGAGTTCTGATCTTTCGTCGAAGTTTCGTAATGTCGTAGTTGTCAGTTGATGCATCGATAACTCAGAGGTGGTCAATCGTGCAA